ATTAGATGACGATAAATCAAAAACGGAGCACACTAATGGAGCGAATTAATGTCTCTTTTGTAGAGCCAAAATACTTTACCAAGTCCATTCATCTTGTGGCTCAATATCAAATTTCGATTCGAAATTAGAATTAAAAAACTCGATTATTTTAGTATTTTCTTTTGTTTTTTTCCCTTTTCTCTCTTCCCCCTTTCATGAATCATCGGATCATGAAAGAAACTGGCAACATTGACTCTAAACATCTCTCGCGCGATCAACTTCTCTTTTAAATAGTTTGCGTCACGACATTTACAACCCTTCATAAATGACGTATGAGTGTAAAATTATACTGACAACTGTAAAAACAGAGGCGATAATTTGATAAGTGAACCTTAGTGACGTACAAACAGCCTCGCCCATATTGACAAAAACCAATCTGTAGGTGGCAAAGTTGTTTCTGTTTGTCATCTCCGTTCAAATTAATCAAGGTCTTCCGACCCGATGTCTTTGTAAAGATAACGATACTCAAACACCTACGTCATTTCCGTTTCTTTTTATTTTCGATAACGAGATGAATTAAATTAGTAATAGGACCCTTACATTCTTTATATTCGGTGTAGAAAAGCCCAATCTATAGGCTCTAAAGATGAATATAAAAGCCCTGTTTCTATTGTTTACGTTTTGCATTCTTTTATGCTTAACATATGCAAATCTTATACATTTTTTTTAATGTTAAATATAAGCATTATTTTATGCTGAATATTAATAATTATAACTATGCTTTATCACGCTAAATACAAGCTAAATATGTTTAACATAAACGTATGTTTTAATGCCTTTCCGTGTTAAAACATAAACTTTCTTTCTATTCTGTACACTGAACATTAGTATGCTTTTTCTGATGAACATCTTACTGTTTGTTGAACACATTTCTACCTTCCTTTTTCGTTCTCTCCTGCAGAATATGGACGGATCTCTTTACTTTTCATGTCGAATATAAACATGCCTTTCTACATTGAGCATAAATGCATTTCTGTGTTGAATATAAACATGTTCTTCTCTATATTCCGACGTTGAATACAAACACATCTTCTCACCCTTTCATACGTTGAACATAAATATATTCTCCTCCATATTTATCACACGTTGATGCTTCTACATACAGTTAAAATTCTATTCTAAACATTAAAACACATTAAGCATCACTTTAAAAGCAAAGAATTCCAGAATAAAACATAAAAATTCGTATATTTTAACATTTAAAAAACATTTTTTTAAAAATATATATATATATATATTAATTCCCTCCTCCGTTCTCTCCTCTTCCTCCTGACGTTCTTTACAGAAATATAAAAGTAGTGTAACCAATGTTTATCTAAACAACATCCATATTCAAGTAAGAATTCTTTGCAGAAAAAGGAAAAAAAAAAAAAACTTATTTTTTCAGGAAGGATATAATATCCATTGGTATTTTTCTGTTCTGGAGATGAAACTAGTATCAGAGTACCTAACATGCAACGGAATTCCCTGCATAGGTCTATGGTCTACATGTTGGAGAGGAGTGTGTGTGTGTGTGTATGTGTGAGAGACGAGTTGAGGGTAGAGACTAAGATAAATTGGAATGCGTGCTCCGTCTGCCAAACTGTAGCTTTGGCTATTTCTAGATGCTTGGGGTGAACGTTTGTACTGTACCTGTGAATGTTTGTGATGGAATTTGTGGACATTTCTCTCATTGTCACACCATGTGACTAAGTCCGAGTCAAGAAGGCATCTTATATATATATATATCGAGAAGAATTTTATTGTCCTTTCTACATTTAAATTTTCCTTGGCTTAATGTAGATTATACTTTAATGAGCTTGTCTGCTGTAAATTGAAGATTATTCCGACTTGTCACCCTTCAAGAATAAATCATAATAAATTTTCTCGAGTAAATGAAAAGTATGATATTTTTTTCATCCTCTCTATACATAAATTATTATGAATTTTTCTTTTTTTCGTATTAATTTCTTAAATTCTGTATAAATTATGTTTAAAATATCATTCAATTCTTATTATTTTTTAAAAATCATTTGTATGTTCCATCCCCCGTTTTCTAATGTTGCATAAATTATGCTAATAAACCGATATGAGCTAATTATAATATGTTAATTACGTTAACTTTGCGTGAATTTTTACGTATGTAAAGGTCAATTTTTCCTTCCATGATTCACAAATTATATATTAATAACAATGCTGCGTTATGCTGACCACGACGTTAATGATGTGATGCATATGGATTAAAATATGTTAATGAGGTGAGGAGTATGTTACAGTGTTTTTATCGTGTTTTAATTTTAAACGATTTACCTTATTTTCTCCATTAAAACTCGTTAATAGAATCGACAAAATGACGTTTTCAGTTGAAACTGAAGGTTTAAAATACCTTTTATTTATGTCAAAAGCACGAAAAGTACCTTAAGTAATGATATTTTAGTGAGCTATTTTCATATATTTTTCAGTTTTTAAATCATTTTTGCATAGAAAATATAGAAATTTACAGTAAAAAAAGACAAATTAAATTTTCATATAGGACAGTTTATCCTAGTCAAATCGTTACGATAACGCCTCGAACTCGAGGAAGGGGTGAAAAAAAACTATGGAAAATCTATAAAAATATAAACAAAACTAGTCAAATTCTCTTTATTCCAAGAGACCTTCAGTAGGAAAAGCAGAAGCGTAGCTGCTGGAATGTCGGTTAGTAATGAGCAGATGGGTTGTATCGATCGCAGGATGGAGAGCGGTTTTTCCTTCTTCAAAAGCAGTACATGTCTATTGACGTTTACATTATAACTCCTCTACCCGTGTTTCTATCGTTTCTGGAGTGTCCTTTACTTCAAATAACAATTCCCCAAGGGCTGGTTTCTTGCACTACTATCACTCTTCAACAAAAGAGAGCTTTTTGTCACACTGCTAAAGTCCAATCAAAAGATTTCAATTTGATAGAATACCAGGAAAAAAAAAAGAATCTTTAATACAGTAACGTTGGTAAGACGAATGGGATGGATGTATCAATTAGATCTTCATCCTACCTGCAATTGCTTGAAAGTGTTCGTAAGGTGTATAGAGAAAAAAACAATTATCCTTGATAAATTGTTGTGTTAGAGGTTAAAGTTGATGTTTGAACCGCTACAAAATAAGAGTTAAAGGTGTTGTATCTGTTTGATACAATAGAGGTAAAAGGGGGTTACGTCTAAACCCCTGAGTGTAAGGTTTGATCTGAATGGTGTTCAAACTGAATTGAGTTTTGGAAATCAAAACAAAAGGAAGAATCAGACTTTTTTTTCAATTTCTTTTAAAAGTTTTTTCTTTTTTTTTTATTTTGAAAAAAAGGAGTAGGAAGAGGAGGTGGAGGAGGAGGAAGAAGAAGAAGGAAAAGGAGCTCGAAAAACTTTCGCAGTTGCTTCACTACTAAGTAACACCAATTCCTGAGGGGGACGTTAGGCGAAAAAGGTCTTCGGACCCATCGGGACCCCAGGGTCCATTTCACCAGTCGGAACCCCCAAGAGGGATGGAGCTTACTCGGACCGACACCGGAAATCGTTTTTCGATATTTCCGAACGGGAATAAAGAGAAGGACTCTTCCAATCCCAGGCCGCAGCAGACAGCTCGGAGCTCGCTCCAAAGTCTCTCTTGATCCTTTGTAATTCCACCTTTGGCCGTCGTAAGCTGCTGGCATCGATTCTCCTCCCCTCCATCCAACTCCCAGCTCTAGATTCCAAGCTATATAGAGCGAAGCTGGGAAAAAGAAGTGAAGCCTGGATATAGAACTCGTCCGTCTGAGTACAACTCAGCAAAGTTCTTATTTTCTGTCTCACTTCTATTCGTTCGAAACGAAGAGTTTTCCAAAAACCTGCAGGCAACTTCCTTTTCTCAACGGAGTCCAAAAGTAATGATATAGGTGTAGATATAAGAATTTATAGTAAATCTCTGGTCTTGTCTATAACTGGAGATAGAAACTAGGAAGAAGTGATTGTATTCTGTGAGAGGAGAAACGGTGACACACTCTAGCGATAACGGCTTATACGTAGATAAGTGTTCTGTACATTCCTCCTTCCTATCAACCAATTTTTTATACAGTTTATTTTCTACCAAAATGTTTTTTCCCAGCGTATCAATGCGCAGATTTAATAGAACTATAAAAAACACCCCCTTAACATCGCTCAGATGTCTTAAACATAGACATAACTAATAAAAATAACTTAGAGCAATCTTTAAAGATAGATTTCACTTCATTTTATACGATATTTTCTTTGTGAAAGACATCTTTTCTGCGCGCTTCTTAATAACCAAACCCCCCCTCTTGAAGTATCAATATATTGTAATGCACGTACGCAGACACGCATTCATTTTCAATCAAGGTTCTCATCCGTGGGATAAAACGTCTCAATCAAGCAGAATGAAGCTAGATATTTTCACTCCAAATGCCATTAACTTGCCACGGTGGCACAGTAACGCCCTTAAGTAACACTTTAGTGTGTACGATACACGGAGGCAGAGTCGCTGGCTTCGTACAAACGCAAGATATTTAACGTGCACTTGTGTGTGATTTATGGTGACATCTGAGCCGCTGTTCGCTCTAGCTTAACGCCAACGATGTTAGTTCCTGGTTTGCAATATTTCGCCCCGAGATACTAGAAAACTCAATGTCTCATTTACACATTCATAACAGCGACCGGACCGTGCTCTAAAGTGAGATTATCCGAACCGGTGAAGATTCGATGATTGCATAATCTGCTTCAAGATATATGCTGAGTGTAAATTTACTAAAAGAAGTTAAAGTTAATTTACGACATTATAAATGCGAATTTTGCGTAACGTTCGATTAAATTTTGCAATACGTAGCCATGGTTTCTGAGTGGATTGTTAGAAGACTTTAAAAAAAATTTTCATAATATGTAATAAATTTCTAAACTTTTATTATTTATAATTGTAAATATATAAAAATGCAATACGTTTTCGCGGTTGAAAAAATAATTTACCTGTATAACCCGCATATTGAGGCCCGTCTCTTGAGCCAGCTGCTCTCTGATGTGCCTGGTGGGTTTGGGAGTTGCGGCGAAGGCTGCTTTCAATGTTTCCAGCTGTTTGGCCTTGATGGTTGTTCTAGGCCCTCTTCTTTTAGTCCCAGGCTGATTTTCGTCGTTGGGTTGTACAGCCTGACTTTGATTTTGACCGTTGGTAGAACTTACACTGTCGCTATTCGCACCACCTCCTCCCGCTCCGCTAGTACCATTATTAATTGAACCCGGTGTGGCTCCGACGGGGCTGATGGTGGCACTGGGAGGTGGAGGTCCGGGAGCAGTGACCACCATTCCGTTATGTAGATCCCTTTCTACACTAGATTCTCGATCGGTGTCGCGGATAACTGGACCTAAGTCTGGATCAATGGAACCATCCATTGCATCGTCTAGATCGTTGGGATCCGATGGAGAATTGGCCATCACTACTGTAAGAGAAAAAGAAAAAGAAAAAAAAAAACAGAGATTTCAAATTCTAGTTTGCTTAAATTAGAAATGACGGCGAGTTAATTAAAAATTAGATATGCAAATGAATTCGGTTGCGAAGCGACAAACTTTCTTCGCGGCAAGCGACCTTAAGATATGGAAAATGATTTGTTGGAGCAAAAAGAAAATCATTAGATGCAGTTTTGGAAATTAAATCAATGCAGAATGTTATCGACAATGGATCTTATATTTTAAAATTCTTTTTGTCGGTCATTTAATAAAACTGTAACTCTTTTTTTTCCCTTTCATCTTTCCCTACTTAAGTAGGCATTTAATCATTTTAAAAAAAAAACTCTGTTATGTGTCTTTATATTAAATCCACGTTTACAAATTTATTTAAACTTTTAAAATATGTTTGATTTAAGAATTATAAAGGTTATAATTAAAGATTATCAGATTACACAAGATACAAAAATTACTTTGCTTTCATACATCAATACAGGAGTCGGAAAGTATATATATATATTATTATTATTATTTTTAACTTCAAACGTTACTTTTTTGCATTTTAAATTAAAAATTTCTATAAAAAGTATTCAATTATTAGAATAAAGTTTGAAATTTTTAAAGAAATAGATAAAAATTGTGAAAAATTTATTATTTTAGAGGGATGATGGAAGGAAAATTACGAGATTCTGATGATGCCACGCAACAAATAGAACGTGAAAAATAATGTTTTATAAATTATATTTTTGATTTTATGAATGTAAAATTTTAATATTAGTTAAGTAAAATCTCTTTAAAAAGTCTTAAAATCAATTGACATTGTTGGCCTATAAATAAATGATATAGACGAATCAATTCAAAGTGCCCATTGATCAATCGTTATAAGACAATCATTAATATATCCTCACTTCATTAGTTTCTTCCACCAATTTATATTTTAATACTCTAAAAAATCTTTATAAATCCTCAAAAATACACATGAAATTTATAATAAACAACGTATTTTTCTATATTTTTTTACGAAATTCTTACTGACTTTTGGCAGCATCATCATCACAGTTTACTGGTTCGAACCTTAGAAGTAGCATTTGGCACATGGTACCATGACCGATCTCTATAATACCAACAAAATGTCCATAAGAAATCATTGATCTTTGGAGGAAACAGATTTAGGAGGCTGAGATAATACCATGAACTACCTCCCCGGGGTGTTATCGAGACCCTATGACCCCAACCAACGAATCTTACCGCTATCGTCGGGGCACAAAGCTCCCTTTCTGTCGTCCAAACGACATGTTTATGAATCATAAACCGGTATGACACAAGGATGGGAGGATAGCGAACGAGAGGGGTGGAACTGAGACCTTAATTTGTCATCATTTGCTGCGTTCGGTTGCAGAACTGGGTTTCGCTTTGGTAATCTCAAGGGGAGAATGCGGGGAACAAAGCTGTCACCATCTATAAATTGTCCGACCGCTTCTGAAACAGAAAGAAAGTTGCATGAATCGTTTGTGGTTCTTCCGCCTTTCAAAAGGTAACTTGTGATGTACCGATGTGTTATATTAAAAGATCGGTCAGCTGCAAAGTCGAAGGGAAGAAGAACTCAAAAAGAAGCGATTCTATCGAGAAAATGTTTATTTGGTTAATTACTCTTTTTTAGAGTCATTAGAGCCGCATGGAATTTTCAAAGCACATTTTAAAGCACATTTTTCTAATAAACTTCACTTTGATAATACGTTTTTGTACGAGATTTCTTATTAACATTCATTTTCAAAGCCTTGTCGCATGTTAATATTGATAGAAACGTGACATTTAAATGCGGCATTTAAGCGTAGAGAGGCCCGCTGTGATTTTTTTTTAAATTTATTTATTTATCGAATGGTAGTGGAACGAGACGTCCAATTCCCGATCACAGCCTGCCTGTTCATAACTAACAGACGGAACAATGCGTTTAACACTCGCAACACGCAAACGGTTCCACCTCCCCCTCATAGTCCACCGCAGGGGTCGGGGGTGGAAGAATGGGGGCGACTTCCCCCATCCGTAACGGATTACCTCCGATAAGGCAGCCGCTATGAATAAAGCATGGCAGGCTGGCCAGATCGCGCATGGCGCACGACGATAAGGGGAGCGTTGCCATAGTAATGCACGCGACTCGCCAGCCAATCTGATTGGTTGCCGGAAACTCGACTGTGGCGTGGCAGGTGGGAACAGACTTCGAGACTCGGACTGGGTGCAAATTCTCTCTTCCCCCTCCCTTTTTTTTTCCTCCTTTCGCATTGAGCCAATGCTACATAACGTCGACCAAAGTTCAAAGGTGATTTTTTTTCTTTCGAATTCGCTCACTCCCTTTACTTCGATGCTACAGAATGATTTCTTAATCGATAATATATGAAAATTAAAAGAGTATTATTGCAAAGTAGCCCAAATTACTCCATCAAAAATGCAAGTCTGTATAAAAATCTGTACTTATTTAACACGAAAGATTACTAAATTATGAAATTTACACTGATCCTCCTATACAAAAATCCCTGAATAATTAAATATATCGAATCCTTACGACTCAGACAAACTCGAAATTCAAATCTGTTAGTGTTTCTGCACTATAAAATACCTAAAAATTATTTAAACACAACAAAGTTATACATCACACACGAATTACTCCAATGCTTTTAAGCTTGATGCTCAATACCAATATATTTACTAATAAAACTGCTGTTCAGCATCAAGAAAATAGATTGTTGCATCAGTAAGCTAGAAGATTTACAAAAAGTTTTTGTTATGGTTTAACATATTTATTGTTAAATTAATCCATTAAAGCCATTCAGCATCAAGCAAATATGTTAATGCATCAGGTAGGCTCAAGATCTTCTTCCTTGGCCATGGTTATGGTATGGCACGTCTATGATTAGAGATTGAGTAAATTATAAATTAAACAGCATGGTTAAAGGTTAAACATGGAAAATTCTTATGAAAAATCTTTGATAAATTTTAGAAACGAAGAATTTCTAAGTTTTTTTTTTTTTTACTTTTCTGAGGGAAAAAATAGTAAAAAGTTTGAACGTATTAAGATTTTAAGTTAACTTTTAGTTTTAAAACAAAGATAAAAACTTCATTAATAACTTCCACACTCGAGATTTTTTCGTGTACCATTCTACATTCGGATCAATGCGTAAATCACAAAGGGGGATCCATGCATGTGGTTTGGAGACAGAACTGTGCGTCAGACAGTCGATCCCATCCCATGACTCAGTAAAGCTCCGGAGATAAGCTTGGGAACAGAGCCATGCTGACGGGAGTGGTGAGGTGGAGGGTGGTACTGCAGGTCGTTTGGCTCCCACGGTACCTTAGCCACCTTGCGACGGGCATAAGCTACTTTATATACAATAGTTTTGCTCTTCCTTGGGGTGGATTCGACCTCGAAAAGATTTCCAGTTTTCGATTTGTTGACTTATTTGAAAACAAGCGAATCATAATTGAGTTATTTTTCTTCATAAAAAAATAAAATAATAATAATAAATTATATAAATGTTTCGTCACCTTGTTATTAACTAATTTAAACCCTAAAAAAAGGCATTAAAATTAACGCATTCGAAGAAAACGATGGATTTTTTTCCCTTCTAAAAATTAATAATAATAAAAAAATATACAATTTTTCCTTTTAATTGGTAAATTTATTTATTTTACAATATTGTACTTTTATTTATTTACAAAATCCATTTCTATAAATATATGCATGAAAGATCTCCATTATGTAAATACTAATCATCATCATAATATAGACACCATGTTAATCATTTATACTATTTACGAAACGATGCTTATTCAAATAAACAACAACTTTTCCTATAATTTGACATTTAAATTTGCATTTTCTCGAAGTTAATTCGGTTAACAATTACTTTTAATTAGATAAAGATTTTTAAGAATTTAAAAAAAAAAAAAAATTATATATTGCATACATAAAGAGTTACAATCGCTATATAATTATATAAAATTAACAATTTTCGGCCAGTCAAATGCATAAATTCTGACTTAAACTGCAGTTAAATATATTTAAAAGAACGGATAAATTGCTAATTAAATGATGTTGATGTTGATAAGTATCGGGTAAATTTATCAATTGATAGGTTTATAAATGGAAATTATAGCTTAAAAAATTGATTTAGATGATAAATAAATCAATTAAAAATTTATTTTTGAGGGTTATAATCGAATAAATTCGCATTTAACATTATTTTTCTTTTCTTCAAGGATGAGGAGTATCAAGATCAGCATCAGATACAAGTCGATCCCCCTATAACACTGTTGATTATTCCGTTTTATATGAATTCCATGTTGTACGAGTCACTTAGATTTTACAAATACGCGTGCCGGGCTGTGAACGGTTCACGTGTTTGTAAAATCTAAGTGACTCGTACAACATGGAATTCATATAAAACGGAATAATCA